AGGTAACATGAAAAATGTAACCATTATTTTTTTTCTGAGTTTAGCAGAAAAAACAAATTTAAGTACCCACTTGCTATTGAGTGAAGTAACCATCTTTTAGTGTTAGGTTATCCAAAATATTTGCAGGGTGGCTATGCTAGAAATCTAGTAGGGAATCAATAAATATGGGTTCATTTTCACTTCTTTTCACTTTAAGGAAGTCTATTTGTGACAAGGCATTTTTAGGAGTAATGGATAAGATTCTGTTTCTTCCTCAAGGATCTGCACTGTGTCCTCTATAAAACATTAGTGAGCATTACAATACACTTAAACCGTCACTTTTGGATAGTTTTTTCCTTAAGTCCTGAGTTTCCTTGGAATTGGAAACCAGAATGAAAAATAGAAACACAGCACATCAAACATTTGGATTCTATAGCCATGACTGAAAAGACTCTTTATTCATTTTGGAAATGAAGCATCCAGTTTTTTTTTTTTTTTGGTCCTGAATATTAAGTTTCAGTCAATAAGTTCTAGATGACATCTGGCCATTTGAAATGAGCGTAGCAACATACTACATTCTATCAGTGTATATTTCATAAAAAAACAATAATATTCCAGAATATCTCTTCTATTAGTAATCTTAACACAAAACTCAGTTTTCTGATGTCTTTCTGTAGAGATAAACTGAAAATTAATTATGATTCCACTTTAAAAAAGGCATATCTCTTCAAAAGGAAAATCATGTTAGAGAACAAAATTATAAAATTTTACTTATTAACTCCAATTAATTCTTAATTTTCAAGTACAAAATCTTTTCTTTGGAAAAAAAGACTGTTAGAAGAAAATACTGTGAAAATACATGCCAAAGATGTGATTATACAACTTGATGAAGAAAAATCAATATATAATAATCATAGTGGTATTTATAGGAAATAATATTTCCAAATCATCTCCTAGTCAACTATTATTAACTAAATATTAACTAAATGTGGATTATTTCATTCTGAAGTCTATAATTTAGTATGAATTAGCGGCAAATAATTTCAGAAATCAGAATAAAAAGCCATGGAAAAAACTGTATAATTAGAGCTTCACAAAATTTAGAAAAATTTTCAGATCAATTATTACTTAAAATAATCTTTAAAGTATAATTTTCACTTATGGAAGAAAAATAAAATAAGCCAAGAGTCTGCAGCTGAACAATGCTTACCTAATATGCAATATAAATATTTCCAAGTAAGTTGCCCAGAACTTAGAAATCAGACTCACCTAATCACTGGAGTAAACAGACTATGGAGACGGCAATATAATCTCACTCCCTATTATAAAATAAAGATATGTCAAAAATAAGGAAGATCACTCAAAGGACAGACTAATGAAATTTTGAGACTAATAAATCCACTGTCAACATTCTGGAATCACTATATAATCTCTACCATTTAAAAGTTATTCATCTGTTGTATTACATCAGAAAAAATAATATAACTTAAATAATTAAAAACAGGACTCAGTTGTGCTATGAATTTGTCATATACATATGACATATACATAGAAAAAGCGTTTTTAAAACTATTTTTCTTAAAATGTAAAACTTCAAAATACAAGCAGAAAATAAATCTATGCAGCAATACCTCACACTACATGTTCATCATATATCAATATAAATTTTGTCAAATATGCGAAGAAAACTGATGTTAATAAATTTTATATATTTATGTATTTTTTAAATTTATTCAAGTATAATGGCCACTTGTTGCTACATGTGACATAGTTTTCAGTGGATATAATCTGAGTGATGCAATTTCATTACTTCCATTTAGAACTACATAAGAGAATGAAAAAAAATGATCTAACCCTAGAATTCTTTAAATAGCAAAAAAGAAATTGAGAGACTTGCTTACAAATGCTATTTTCTACACCAGAAGAATTTTTTTAAGTCTCTCAGCAGCATTTTATCTCGGTGAAGTATAACAACATGAACTCTGCTCTTGATAAAAGATTCTGGGAGAGGTTGTTACCTTTGAAATCACATCCTGCATCTCATTTCTTGGATAAAAAGTTCCATCATCATAACGAAATCTATATAACATCTGTTCTGGCTTGAATTGGTGTTTATCAGTAACTAAGAACATAGAAACAATATATTAAAATATTGACAATCTAAAATGTGGCAAATAACAAATAAATTTATAAAATACATATTCCCAAATATTTAAACTTGTAGTTTACCAAAAACTTTTGTTTTCCTAACACAGTAATACTAATCCAGTATTTTGACAGTAAGATTCATGATAAGATTTTGTTATATATTTATAATTTCCATATAGTGATTTAAGAAATAGAGTAGCAATATTTAGTTAGCATAATATGAATATGTGTATAGTATATTATTTATATAAATATACAATATTTAGTTAGCATGAGTATGTGTATAGTGTATTATTTATATAAATATACAAAGTGGTGTTTTCTATTTCTTCACTGTGCCACAAAGTTGAGCAAAAACTGTCCTTCAAAAAGCAGATAATCTAATTAGTAAGTTATAATTCAATTCTCAGTCCTAGAGGTGAAATTTAGTATTTATCTATTTTATCCCACAGCAATCAGGCCAAGACCACACATATACCAATCTTGACTGTTTATTCTGTGTTTAGAACTCTGGTGTAGATTATATAATTTTAATATGTAACTTATTCCAAAATTTCAAGTTTTCTGAAACTGAGGAATGTTTTTCTTACATGTCACTTATTTTTTTTTCCTTAGTGGAAATGAGAATGGTCATCCTTCACTTTCATCCTTGAGGTAAGAGTTTCATATTCATAAAGACACCTATTTAACTTCCTCTCAAGTTTTCTTTTTTCCAGAAATATTTTATAGATAGTCTAACAAAAATCATTGTTTGTAAGAGGAAAAAAAATAAATTAAACCTCAAAGAGTTTATCTTTAAATGTTTTCTTTACAAGGAATGCAACATTTGCAGAGCAGATAATTTACCTCAAGGGGCTGTGTTTTCATGATTAGATAGAAGATAGAGAGATGATTATTTTTTGTTAAAAATGTTAAAGAGGGAGAAAAAGTTGGCAGAATTAATTTTCATGAACTACATTTGGTGAATCCAGAGAAAGCCAAAAGACTTATCAGACACACACACACAACACACACATACAAACGTAAGTGAAGTTTCAGCTATTTTACCCCAACCTACCCAAACCATGTGCATGGCTTGCAGCCATCAGATTGAAACAGGATTGCTGCCAAAGAAAGATAGACAACACAGCCTTTTGGCACCTTTTTTTCCCCATATCAAGCCAAAAAGAAAAAAGCATGTGTGAAAGAAAAAAAGAAAAATAATATCGAGAGAAATATTTTGCAATCGTATGGCATGTCTCAAGACTAGTTATTTATTTCTTCTCTGCAATCTACCTTTTTCATTTTTATCCTCTAAGAGTCACTGAAATACATTATTGTCTTGATATTTCAAAATTCAAGGAAATGTTGGGCCCAAATGTCTTTTGACATGATAAAACAAACAGTAGTTTAAAATTCCTAATCAAAATGGAGTGCTTACTACTGAAAGATGCTGATGTAGTGAAACGCCAGGACACCTGCACCCCAATGTTCATAGCAGCAATGTCCACACTAGCCAAACTGTGGAAGGAGCCTTGATGCCCTTCGACAGATGAATGGAAGACGATGTGGTATATATATACACAATGGAAAATTACTTAGCCATCAGCTAATACCCATCATTTGCTTCAGTGTGGAGGGAACTGGAGGGTATTATGCTGAGTGAAATAAGTCAATCAGAGAAGGATAATCAGCATATGGTTTCACTCATACGAAGAATATAAGAAATAGTGAAAGGGATTATAAGGGAAAGAAGGGGAACTGAGTGGGAAAAATTAGAGAGACAAACCATGAGAGATTCCTAATTCTGGGAAACAAACAAAGGGTTGCAGAAGGGGACATGGGTGGGGTATGGGGTAGCTGGGTAACAGGCACTGAGGGCACTTGATGGGATGAGCACTGGGTGTTATACTATATGTTGGCAAATTGAATTTAAATAAATAAATAAAATAGGGAAATTAAATTTAAAAAATGGAGTGCTTAGTTGTATAGCAAACTCCTGTGATTTTCATAATTAATCTTGGGTTCTTAGCTATTGCTCTGGAAAAACAGTGAATTGTTCTGCATTCAAATGCACTCCCTCCAACTTCTTGAACATGAAAAATAGGCTTATTAACTGTTGAGAATTAAGGTCATGTGAAAAAGGTTGCTTCACACCATCTTCTAAACAACTATGCAATATTGTGATATTACTAAGGATACAACTGGCTCTCTAGGCGGTGAGGGAGAAGGAGTGCCAATCTGTAGTATTCACCAATTTGTGTGGTATTAAATATTCCCACACTGGCCAATTTCAAGTTACTGAAATAAAGTCACTGAACACAGAGTTAGATGATCAGTGATATATTATTATTTAGTATTTCTATCATACAGAAAAAAATAGATATAAATACCACCAAGAACGTAAACAATAATAAAATATAGTAAAATAATTAGGAAGTAATGAGTTTTAATAATATATGAACTTTGTTTATAATACAATGTATGTGCTATCTGTTCATATAATTTTTAATAATAGCTGTGCTTTACAACCAGCTTGCAAATTTCTAAGAAATGTAATTACCACCTCTTTTAAGTTTGTATAGCACACTACTGGATATAATGAATGAGGTCTCTAAATTTTTGCATAAGTATTTCTAATGTAAATAGTAAACTCAAATAAGAAAATATATCCGCATATCACCGCGAAAGCATATGCTGCTTCAACCCAGCAATTCCTTGGTATATCAAGGCTTTGCTTTTTATAAAGTTCTCAACGATATTTGCAATGTGAATAGTGGCAATAATAGTCAAATCTTTTTGCTTTCACTCTTTAAAACAGATGGTTCATTCAACTTTATTTTAGGAACTCTATTTTCACTAAATGCAGCTGGAATTACATACCAATAAAACAACCATGTTTGGCTCATATCTCTACATTCTAATAAGATTATTAATGTGAAGTTGCATAATGTGTTCTCCTCCTAGTTTGGGGGAATCTGTACTAGTTAATTTTGGACACTTAAAAAAAGTGATTGCTTTTAGCAACAAAAATTCTATGTGCCAAATCAGACATTACAACTGATCAAATTCTGATAACAATAATAGTACAGGCCACTAAAATCAAACTGTGACAAACTGTTAATAATAGGGAGGATTCAGGGCTTTATTTCTCAGAAAAAGAATTAATTGGGTTATAAATATCATTGTTCAAAAAGACTTAAATTCTCCTACGTTAAATAATCAAAAGTCTTTACCTTTGAAAATTCAAAATAAATTTTAATCCAGAATTTAATCTCTTTCTTTACAAAATTATGTTGGAGAAAATGGTGTGAAGTTGGAGGATAAACTGATTAGGACTGAATTCTCCTATTCTGATATCCCTTACTAAAAAAATCTTATGTTGTTGATTTTTTCCTTTCTTTAGAGGGAGGCAATTAAAAATATTGTGAGAAACACTTTAACAAAATAAATAAGGGTGGTTCTCTCTCAATGGAATTCAGTGATTCCTTCAAGAGCTTTTAGCAATTATGAACTGAAGAACATGTGAGACTCTAAAAGAGTATTCATGAAGATATTTAAGATTCATGAAGATATTTATGAAGACATTATTCCAACTCGGGTTTGTACTAACTTACAATTGACATGAAAATGTTTGGCTAGCTACTCACAATTTCAGGCAAAGCAATAAGTTTTGCCATTGCAAAGTCAGTAAAATTCCATCCATAAGTTATGTCTTGAGTTTTCAGAACCCAATGCACTATGCAAATAAGTGACTTAGCCCTCACACAATTCCTAGGTCATCATGATGAAATATGAAAGCAAGAGTGGAAGGGTGGCTTGAAAATAACCTAATAGCCCCTTCAAAGGACCTCCTCTTCCCCCACATTCTGAAATTTCCATTTCTGGGTATAAAATTTCTGTAATGCCCTTTTGTTTATTACAAGGTATCTCATAGTCAAAAAAGAAAATATTATAACAAACTTAGTGTGTAGCTCTTTCTAAATACAGTAAGCATTGTACAAGTACAAAAATTGTATTTCTTAGATAATCTTTAAAACAAAGAGCAACATCAATTGCTGACAACTTTAGGATCTTTTTTTCTCTTGTTTCTAATTCATAATGGTATGAAGTCACTCAAAATAACAACAGAAGTTATGAAAACCTCCATTGAAAGAGAAATGTTAAAAGTTATTTTTATGATTATTACATGATGATATAATCATAAAATATTGATGAGTTTATATAATGATTACTCTGGCTTTAAAATAATTCCAGTGATTTTTTTTAATATTGACCTGGGAGCTATGTCTCGGTAGCAGAAATTGGGTCACTGTTGATCAAATCAGTTTAGCTTTTGTTTTTCCTGGACATGAATCTACCCTACATTTCTAAGTTTCTCTTGCAGTAAGGAGTGGCCATGAAACTAAGTTGCATCTAAAGACATGCACAAAAAAGTAAGGCACAATGGGGAGTGTATAGGCCCATTTAAAACCAACACACCAAAAACTACACTACTCCTTCAACATGACTTCTAAGAGCTCTACACTGAAAGTAGGTGAGCCTCTATCAGACACCAAAACCCTGTGTGAGGGAGAGCACCAAACCCCATCCTCCACCAGTGACTTTACCTGAGTGAAAAAATAGCTTCTAGAATGTAAATCAATGTAGTTAGGTGGTATATTTGTTATAGCAGCTAGCATTAACCAATTCCTTCTCAGAGTTCCCTGCCAAAAATAAATTCTCCCATCCTAGTAGATTTCTACCTTTCTGAAAGGAAATATGTCAACAGCTGGATTGCTTGATAAACAAGGTGAAAAGACAGGCTTACGACTACCAGACCATAAGAAATAAAGTCACTATTCATGTTTACATACGTAAAGTACCTCGTATAATATCCTACACATAGAATGAAGGAAAGAGTCAGGTAGGAAAAAAATAAAAAGTGTTCATAAACAGATTTTTTTCCTTCTTTGCTCTGTCTGGTAAGACATAGTCCCTGGAAGTACACAGTATAAATGAGACAAGAATCACCTGATTTCTGAAGGTCTATGATTGTATGCAAAACCTGTCTATGTTCCACCTACTTGAGCTTCAGTGGACTGCAGGACAAAACAAATATATCCCCTTCTTGACCTAAGTATATACTTGGACTTGGGCCTAGAACAAAGGAAAGAGAAGCAGCAAAGAGAAAAGCCATCTAGCTCAATATCATCTTTTCATTCTTACTTTTAAGTTTTCGGATAATGCTTTTTAGCATACTTGGTGCTACATGGTGTTTCTATGGTACTAAAGAATCAAGTACAAAATCATACACAATTTATCAGTATTATCTGTTTACTCACAATATAATTAGTCATTTATTTATCCACTGAGCAAATATTTATTGAGCACCTACACGTGATGGGCACTCCAGCCATTTACTATATATTAACAAACAAGGGTCCCGTTCTTATAGTATTTATATTTGATTCGGGGCCAGAGTAAGTATGGGAGTTAGAGAAGGAATAAACAAATAAAACAGCATGATAAGTTTATAAAGAAAATTTAAAAAATTAAAATTAAAAACACAGCTTGTTGCAATAATGGGATAAGATTCTAAAAGTCAGAGTGTCACTGAAGACAAGACGGTGACTTTTGTAATTTCATTCACTGCTATCTCTCTAGCACCTAGAAAGGTCCCTAGCATATATTAGGAATTAATAAATAACTGTTGAATGAGAACAGCAAGAGCAAAGATCCCAAATGGAGTGTTCAAGGAGGAGACAGTAAGCCACAGGGGCCACCATGTAATGAATTAGGTGCGACACTCTGTGCCTAGTCACAGAGGATGTCAGGGGCCCTATCACATGGGGCCTTTCAGGCCACAGAAAAGAGATCCAGACTTTGATAAGGAATTCTGGATTTTTCTTTGAGTTTAATGGGATATCAGCAGATGATGATAAGCAGAATACCTTGGTCTTACATTGTTTTAAAAGGTTTCCATGCTTTGTGCAGTGGCGGTATTGTAGCCAATGAGGTTTATCCGAGGCATTATTATTGCTAATTACAAGGTCTCCAGCTGTTATCTGTAGGGTGTATCATAGGGATGGAGGACCAAAGTGGAAGCAAGGAAGGAGAGGATGGTTACTGAGAAGAAGGTGGGGATCCTGGAAGTGAAAGGAGCTGTCTAATTAGGGACCTATTTTGGTGGTAGAATTTACAGAGCACCAGTACGGTGGGGAAAAACTGGGAAGATACAGTTCATTTTCGTCCCACTCTAATTAAAAAAAAAAAAAAAAAAGGAACACTGAAATACCTTAGCCAAATATCCATGTTTATTCATAATCCCCCCTCTTTCTCCTCTCCCACATTTTACATAAGAAATTCTTCAAGTTTTACTTGTCAGTCTCATTATCACTGCGTTCTTCTTTCTATGTTACTGATGTTCTCAGGAATCTGGTGCTCTCTTGAAATGATTGCCAAATTTGTCTCTGGATCTCCCTCTATTCTGAACTTAACATACATATTTTCAACTTCGTGCTGAGTGCTCCCCTGTGGATGTCTCATACCCAGCCTACCACAAATTCTTTATCCTCTCCCCATCCTGCTCCTCCTCCTGAATAATCATCCCTGTCAACCAGCTAGAAACCTCAGAATAATCTGATCTTACACTTCACTCCTCATCTCCCAGACAATAGTTGCCAAATATGCTGTTCCAGCTTCATCAAAACCTCCCAGATGGGCCACTGTCATCATGCCATAGAACACAGCCCTCATCCTCCCATTGCAGGGAAAGGTGGGGACCTCCCAATGGATGGGGCCCCCTGTAGTGTCTCCAATGTCTCCACTTGTTCCACATTGCTGCATGTGAGGGCTCTAGAGCCAAGTTCTGGCCACTTTTCTGCTTAAAAGTGTCCATCATCTCCTCACTCCCTTCAGAATAAGCCCTACATATTACAGCCAGAGTGTTAAGATCTTGTGGAATCAGATGTGCTTACCTTTCATACCACACCTCTCCTCCCCAGTATGTTCATCCGTGACCTATACTGTCTCACCATGAGAGATCCTATGCTAGTTCCTGAAGAGACCACCGTGAGCTTTCCCAGTTCCATGCCTGAGTATCTATACTATTCCTCAGGGCGAGACGTTCTCTGTCCTTCTGTCCCACTTAGAGTCCTACTCATTCTACAATGCCTAACATTAATACACTTTCCCTCATAAAACAGTCCCAGATACTCTAATTAGAACTTACCACAGTCCCACATTTACCTGCATTTCTAATTTTTACCTGTTTTGTGGCCATTCGTATTAAAGTTAGCAAATATATCACCATAAACCCAACTCCCTAAAATTCCCAGAACTACAGTTCTGTATATGTTAGGCACTAGAAATGTTGTTAAAAATACATAAGCATTCTATAATGTGGACATTTACTATAAGCTAAATTGATTAAGGAATTAAGATGCCTCCAGCTGATGGATAAATAGTTTAGTAACTAATAAAATAATTACCATGGTGGATGATTCCATTTTCTAACAATGCTTGTCCTAAGTGAACACCTTCCTCAGGCCTGTGAATCTCTCCAATTTCCAACAGCCATGACACAAATTCACTGCAATAGAAATACAGTAAAATGGTTAAATAGTCTTTTTTGTCCTCCCTCAGGAAGTCTATTTCTACCATGCTTTCATCAAGCAGCTTTGGAAGGAATCTCAAATATAAAGAAATATTTGCAGTGCATTTCACCATGCATTTTTTCCACACATGTGAAGCCCAAAATTATTTAAATTTTACTCTATTCTAAAAAAAAAAAATATGCTATTCTGGAAAACCCATGTCCCTTTTCTAAACCACACATAATAACTATTCAACTCACTGAGACCTCTAATAAACACAAAGGGAAAATTTCAGAGTAGTTTTAACTATAAAGAAAATAAAAACAGATCCTAAAGAGGGCTAACAGGCAAAATAAATAGAACAATAACGACTTAATATAAGAGATAGACAGTCTGAAATGTGGCTTTCCAGGCACGGAAAACCAGTGTGTTTGAAAGTCCAAGAAGGCAAACCAAAAATATTGCATACCCTATATGGTAGGTGGAATTCCAAACATGTCCTCCTACTCCCTCCTCCCATCAAGAATCCCATCCCTTGGTTTTGTAATCAAATCCTAATGTAGGTAGTGCTATGAATGGATTTTGTATACGTAAATAAAATCCCAAATCAGTTGATCTTAAAACATGTAAATTATTCAAGAGCGCTTGACCCAGTCAGTTGAGCACTTTTAAGGAAAGAGCTTTCTCAGGTGGGTGGCATAAAAGTAAGTAAGAAAAATTAAAAGCACAAGAAAGATTCAGTGAGCCACTGTTGCCTTTGAAAATAGAGGGGCCATGTAGCGAGGAATGCTGGCAGCTTCTGAGAGTGGTCCTTGCCAACAGCCAGCACACAAATAGGACTTACTCTTACAATCACTGAGGACTAAATTCTGAACCTGAATGTGCTTGCAGGTGATTTATTTCTCAGAGCCTTAAGATAAGGGCCCGACCTCAGAGCAGCCCACATCTTGCTTTTGGCCTTTGAGACCCTAAGCAGGCAGCCCAGTATCATTCACCTTGATTTCCTTCTCACCTATAGAATTATGAGCTAATGACTGGGTGTTGTTTAAAGCCCTAGGTATGTGGTCATTTATTTTGCACCAATATAAAATTAATACACACCAAAAGTTTTATTATATTGTTTTCAAATTTTAAAGTCATTTATGGGGGGCACCTGGGTGGTTCAGTTGGTTAAGTTGGTTTCAGCTCAAGTCATGATCTCAGGGTCCTGGGATGGAGCCCTGCATGGGCCTTCTGCTCATTGGGGAGTCTGCTTCTCCCTCTACCTCTGTCCCTCCTCCTACTTGTGCACTTACTCTCTCTCTCCTCTCAAATAAATAAATAAAATATTTAAAAATAAACAAGCAAATAAATAAATAAAGTTATTTAGTAAATCCATTCTTTATTAAACTGTCATTCAAAAGGAATACTCTGGCATAAAACAGTTCCATCAGAACTGTCTACCACATATATCTGCTGTGGCTGTGAAAGGCTAGGAAGGATGACAGCTCATATCTTTTACCATTTCGGGGTGGGGAGAGGAGCCCCAGACATCACATATAAATAGGATGATGTTTTGTAACCCAGGAGAGCACCAGCTCAGTAGTGATGGTTTATATGGCCATGTGGTATCATTAAGAAAACACTAAACACAGAAACGTTTTACAATAAAATACTTTATAATGCTTATGTTATAAAAATCTAACATTTGAACTTTTACATAAAGTAATGGATACTGTTTAGAGTGGTTTCAATTTTGCACAGAGGTCAGAGAAGCCAAGCTATAGAAAGTGTCAGGAGATTACTTCTCCATTTATTACAAAACTGAAAGCAACACATATGACTAAAGTCAAATAACCGAGGGTTGCAGAATTCTAAAAGTGGGTATCGAGTCTAACAAGTACATTTTCAGGCAGAAGAAGTTATTAAAATGCTTTCAATTCTTCTATTAAATAGAGATCATCCAAAAGAAAGAAAATCTGAAAAGAAGTAAAAATTCAGGTTTCTTCCTTGATAGCACAAAAGTAATGAGTATCAACTCCGGGGGCACCTGGGTGGCTCAGTCGGTAAGTGCCTGCCTTTGGCTCAGGTCATGATCTCAGGGTCCTGGGATCAAGCCCCCCGTTGGGCTCTGCACTCAGCACAGAGAATCTGCTTGTCCTTCTCCCTCTGCTCCTCCTCCACTATCTCTCTCTCTCTCTCAAATAAATAAATTAAAAAAAAAAGTATATCAATTCCACAGTGCTGTCACAGGATTAGATGAGCTAATAAATGCCAGGAACTCAGCACAGTGCCTGGCACATTTTGAGCACTTATTAATATCAGTGGCTGACAAATGGGTTGAGCTGGTTGGTATGTAGCTCAAGCATCATTCTCCGTTCTGAAATCTGAATACATCAAATTAAAATGAGAGAAAGAGCACATTCTAAGTGTTGCTATAAATTAGGAGCATAGAGGAAGAAAAGAGACTGGTTACTAAAGGAAGTTAATGGGCGGCTTTATTGTGGGACCTACTGAAATCACAAGAAGATCCCATTAACACTCCGTGAAAGGATCGTGATCCTGTCAAAAGAAATCTCAAACTTGGGCTGTAACACAGAGCTAGTGTGTTGTTATGGAAAAAGCCACAGTGAACACAGCTAAGATTTACTGAGTCTTTCCTGTGTATCAGCACTATGGATGGTGAATGCTCACATACCATCGTAACTAACTAGCACTATGGCCATGTGAGATCATAGGGTAAAGAGTTAATAAAATCCCTGCTCTTTTAATTAAGAAAACGTGACCCTGAGTCAACTTTGTAGCTCTGTTTCCTTAGAACCTGATGCAGGCAGGGTGTTAACCGTGTTACCAGGAAGCATTGCTTACGGTTAAAATGAGTTCTGATGGCTAAATGGAATACTAATAAATACCTGGTGAGAAGCTATAGCCTGAAGTGACTCTTAGAAGCAGGCATGTCCCTATGAGAATCCCAGAAGTTATGCCCTTGGGGTTGTTATAAAAAATAGTGCCTTCTTTGCAACATTGGGTTTCTAAGCCAAGGTGGGCTTACATCTGCTCTTTCTCTTGCACAAGAGCCATCACCAGGGCTTGATAGTGACACCAGCTTGCTGGCAGCTGTGTGGTCTGGTGTAAGGACCATGCCCACTAATGAAGAGACCCCATACTGCCCTGCAGGCCAGGGTTTCCTGGCTCATATTCTTCTAACAGGGTTGGGAGCTGGTGTGGCCTGTGGTTCTTTTGTTGTGTCTGCATAACGAATCAAGAAGACATTCTGGGAGGTATTACAAGTAAGCACTATAATCATCTTCATTTTTTTAGAGAGGAAGAAGAAAGTTAAACTTCCCAAATCTCTTAACTAGCCAGAGGTAGGAGACAGTCTGTTTATGATGTGTGTTCCAAGTCCAGACTTGGAATTAGCACTCCAGACTACTTTTATAGAGTTGACATTGGCATTTAATAGCTATATGAAGGTGGGCATGGTAAACTCCCTGATCACTGGTTTCTGAATCTTTAAAAAATGCAAAGCTTTTAGCTTCTAAGTATATGCATCTGAGGATTAGAAATAACACATAGGGGCAGCCAGCACAGGGCCTGGCTTGAGCAGTAGTACCCTTTGGTCCCACAGGCTTCACTCAGCAGGGACCCCCATGTCTAGTTGTCCTCAGAACCCAAAGGACACACAGTAAACCTATGCTAAAGCCCAGGCAACTTCCCTGCCTGTTGCTCTGTGCTGGGTCCCTTGCATGACCCTCTTTTTCAGACTCGTCGACACTCCTTCATGCTGAGCCCAGCTGCCAAAGTGCTGAATTAATCGCAAGTTTAGACTGTGTGTTCTCCGTTCCCGAGTCTTCTCAAACTCTAGGCCTGTACTCACATCCCTGCTAGACTCTGAGCCTGCCTGCCTGCCAGCCCTGAATCTGCTTCGCCCTTAGAACATGGTACATCTGAAATTGTTGAAGTCATGTGTGGATGGATAGATTCTTAAGTTTTCTATGATTTCTGGCTCTGAGTCCATTCCTTCATCCCACTATGGGCCAGGAAATGTTCACAGTTAAAGAAATATTCAAAAATGCCCAAAGGAATATTTTTTAAAGAAAAATCATTAAAGTAAACAAAAAAAGAAAGAAAGAAAAGAAAAATCATTAAAGAAAGGTCAACACAGGACATGGTGAAAATATGAAAGAAATACATGTACCCAGACTCCCGACCTTACCTTCCAAGGAAGCATTTAGGGAACGTGGTCAATTTTCTTTTTCTGTCTTTGATCAGATTTCCCTGTTTGCACATCATCTTATAAAGTTTCTCACCCTGTTCGGAGATCATTACCCAGGTGTCTTGCTCCATTCCTAATTTTAAACCTATCCAAAATGAAACAAAGGACAGGTAACTGAAAAAGTTTCCCCGCTCACTCATGTCTGCATTAAACAAACATCTATGGCACGTCTCCCATGTGCAGGGATCTGCAGATACAGAGCTCTGTACCATAGGGCTCTGATCGCCAAGAAGCTCACAAGATACCAGGGAGATGGTCAAGACACGATCCCCAGGGCTGTCTAGTGCCTTTGTGCAAACTGTGCCCAAAGGTACAAGGTTTGGCCAGTGGAGGAAGAACAGCTGCACCGCGGCTCCAGGCACCCATTCTGCAGAATTTGATCAGCACAACTGGAGAGGTGGCCCTCAAAACAGCCTTACAGGAGATAGTGTGACACAATAAAGGCATATTCAGGCAATCTTTTTTTTTTTTTTAAGATGGTATTTATTTATTCATGAGAGACACAGAAAGAGGAAGAGACAGAGGCAAAGGGAGAAGCAGGCTCCCTGTGGGGATCCTGATGCAGGACTCAATCCTAGGACCCTGCGGTCACACCCTGAGTCAAACGCGGAACCTCAACCAACCCTGAGCCACTGAGGCATCCCATATTCAGAGGATCTTACCTCCGAGAAACATTAAGAAAGGTTTCACAGAAGACCAATGTTTAAATGCAGAGGAATGAAGAGACTTTTCAGAGAGAGAGGACGTGTTCACCAGAGCTACCTGAGGTTCTGAAGCAGCACAGGGCACTGAGCTCCAGGCTGGAGGGGAGAGGACAGGGGGCATGCTGCTGGGTTAGGCAGGGGCCTTGCGCAACTGCAGATTCCATGTTCTTCATCCCTGAGGTATCAGGGAAACATGCAAGAGTTTCTACCAGAGGGATGGGAAAAGCAGGGCAGGACAGGAAAAAAAGTTTTGTTGCTTTGGAAACAAAGCTCAGATGACAGTGTAGGAATAAACTGAAGGTGGAGGGTTTAAAAAGAGAGCCATCATTAGGAGGAGACCTCAAAAAGTTAGGTAACGTCAAGCCCCTGCAGACAACAGTAGGGGCCCCAGGGCCAAGAGAATGAAGCTGAGAAATCTCCAGGAAGTGGTATTGATAGGATACAGCAAAAGGTTAAATGTAGGCATCATGGAGAAAAGAGAGATCAGGATGCCTGCCAAGCTTTTAAGGAAAGCCAAACTGGGGAGTAGGGGGAAGAGGCATATTTGGGAAAGGGTTTCAGGTAAGGAGGAGGCCAGGACTGTGCAGGTTGACTCTGGATGTTCAGGTGGAGGCTAAGAGTCAGCGGAACAAATGCATACAAAGCTCAAGAGAGAGGACAAGGCAGGACATAAAGATGGAGAAAGTGGCAATGCAGACCCGGACATGAATCTGGTGGGAATAGGTAACCCAGGCAAGGATCTTTCTTAGAGGGGACCAGTGTCAAAGCTGAAAGCCTTTGTGGCTGAAAGCCACAATCAGCCAATGGACTGATGAACTGTTGCAGAAGAAATACTTGGAATTATTTTTAGTCTTCTAGCTACAAAATTTCTTACTAAAATTTTTATTTACAATGGAAGAGCAATTACCATGTCAGTAATATAGAACAATCCATTAACAGAACCTGTTAACATAAATTTCTAGAATGTGCTTTCTTTCTCCCTCCCTTCCTCCTTCCTTTCTCTCCTTCCTCCCTTCCTTTTCACTTTAGGTTTATCTATATGCATACCCATTCTGAAAAACCAAATAAATAAAGGTTCAACTTGATGAAACATTTATTTTACCTTTTAAATGATTTTCTACACTATTTGAATTGGTTGCTAGATTCAACAAAACTTAAAGAGTCAGCTATGTGTGCATAATCTTTGTTTTAAGATTTTCGAACTGGCCCTCCATCCAAGATCAACCAAAGGAGTTAAGTATTTGAAAATGCTTTGGAAATTCTCAAACAAGTGTGCACTATGAATATTTTAATAGAAGTAGGAGCTTTGTATGTTCTTCAAGGGAAAATTTTTGAACATGGAAGAAAGAGTCCTTTGTGTTCTGAAATTTCATCAGCAATGAGATATTTTACTCCTAAATCCCTGGGGAAAAGGAATAAATACTATTTTGTTTCTTTTCAATTATATGGTAAAGAAATTAGTAGTAACACAAGCATTTCTATTTCCTAGATGCGTTTCAGAAATGTGCTTAATTGCAGATAAACCTCACACAACTGGGCAGCCTGGGTGGCTCAGCGGTTTAGCACCACCTTCAGCCCAAGGTGTGATCCTGGAGACCCAGGATTGAGTCCCACATCAGGCTCCCTGCATGCAGTCTGCTTCTCCCTCTGCCTGTGTCTATGACTCTCTCTCTGTCTCTCTCTGTGTGTCTCTCATGAATAAATAAATAAAATCTTTAAAAAAATAAAATAAAAAATAAACCCCACACAACTGAACATTGCTAGATCAAATACCTTTTTGCAAATCTTGCTAAAAATATGAAGCAGTTTTGAACCAGGACTCCTAATATGAACAAACTCCTTATTGGCATTATAACAATTTTTAAAAGTTAATGTATATCTAAAGTGTCTTATTCTATAATTAGGATACTAACATATTTGATCTAGAAATTTTCAATGTACTTTTAAATATATAACTGTTGAAGTCCCTACAGTACTGCTGTACTATTGAAGTTTGTCTCTTACGGGAAAACTCCATGATGATGCTTTAGAAATGGCAAGAATGAGGTGCAATGATAATTGAACAAATTTTAAAGCAAATGAAAATATTTGCTGTAGACTGACCGTTTGCATGTCTCCCAAATTCATATGTTTAAACCTAACACCCAATATGATGGTACTAGAAGGTAAGGCATTTGGGAGGTGATTAGGTCATGAGGGTGGAATCCCCAGGAATGGGCTAAGTGACCTTATAAATGAAACACCAAAGAGATCTCTTGCCCCTCTACTATGTGAGGACACAGAAAATGGCCATCTATGAACTGGAAAATTGCTCTCACTAGACACTGAATCTTAGGCCGTTAGCCTCCAGAACTGAGCTATAAACTTCTGTTGCTTATAAACCATCCAGTCTATGGTATTTTGTTATAGCAGCCTCAACAGACTAGGATACTATTTAAAAGACACTGCCTACCACAATGCATTATTTTACTAACTAAACAAGGTTTTTCTTTTCTTTTAGTAATAATATTAGAAGTATTCAAAATACTGTTTTAGCATGGGTCTTATACCACATGGGAAATCCAAGTGAATCTGAGTGCTTTTTTACTTTCTTATAATTTCTGCCCATTATCTGCCCTCTTACTAAGTTAAATCTTCATAAAGTGTAATAGCACCCAATTCATACACCTACCTTTTCGCCGTTCTCTTTCTTTCAAAATAGCTTCAAACCACTCATGCTTCTCTTCAGGTGTTTTTGCCATACACACAAACCATTTATTTTTCGCTGTGTTATGTATTTTCCATCCATTGACAACAATGTGTCCACTGCTATGGAAGTCAGCTGGAAATTAATGGGTAAAGGTGAACAACAAAAATAATATGTAATATTATATCAATACAATCATTTAATTCGTAACAGTTCCAAGATCACGGAATTCTTTAAAGTATCTTTATACTTGTTAATGAAGAATATAAAAACAAAAAATTAAGTATTTATATAGTAAATGCAGTCAGTTCTCAGGAACAGAACATTTCTAAATCATAACATTAATCTATTACATGAAACTGAACATCTGAACTTATTAACATTCCTTTCCTCTATGTCCAGAAATACTGTTAAAGTTCCTAAAGGAATAAAAGAACTTTTAAAAGGATTTTCATCTCAATAATCAGATATCTAAGGTGTCAGGTTCATTTTTTCTTTTTAATATTCCTTTGAAATATTATTCTAGGTTTCACAAAAGCAAACTATACTGCCACAGAACAATTCTCAGTGTTTAATGAACCACACAATAAAAATCAGAACAAATGAATGGAACATACCAAGACTGCATATACCTAATCTTCAATAAATGGAAAGGTACAAAATGCCAATCCATTATCATTGCTCATGATTGAAAAATATGCACTTTAAAGCCACATCATTCCATATAAGTGGCATGAATAGAAACAAAAAGGTGTTTTTTGTCACATTGTCTTTTTCTAGGTCTCACCATAATTTTGGCCGCACTGTCATGCTAGATTTGAAAATGTCAACAGGAAACTCTCTATGGCAGTTTTCTGCCTAATAGCAGGTAGAGAATAGTGATGTTATTTGTATCCAGCTTTTACTGTTATGACAGTCTGCAAAGCAAAGATTCCAAATGAATCCAAAATGAAAAGACCTATGACAAAGGCCTGAATCAGCGCCTGCACCAATTTAAAGTAACACTTTTTCATTCATCTCCCAGAGAGTCACTAAACAGTAATAGTAGACAGGAGGTCAGCCACAAAATGTTAAAGGTAGTTTAGAGAAATGACTTTGTGGCACCACACCTGCTTTTTGTTTCTTTGTTGTTTCTCAAATGGCCTATCTTATTTTGTGAGTTCTGAGTAGAGGCAGACAGGATTGACATTCATTGTCCCAAAATCTTGTCCCCATAGTCCTTTAAGCTCCAAAATCACCACACAGTATCTGTATTCAGATTAACTATTCCAAAGATGTATTTTCAAATGATCCTGTATAGTTGAGGGTATTTAAAAATTCCAAGTTATATTTGACCCAGGACAGACTTATATATTAGTCTATATATATGTGTGTGTGTTTGTGTGTGTATATGCCATAATCCCGATATAATAACAATAACAATTTCTGATAAAATCAAAACTAGCAGAAGATTTCCCCCATCAGGAAATTACAGTCTGTTTTTAAAAAGGAATTTTTATACTTTCCTTCTTACATTTACTTATTTAATTCCTGCCCATATCCTATACAAAGTAGCAGAACCTAGTAATACATGTCAGATAGGTAGCAATGGCATTAGTAAGAAAGTAAAAATTATTAGTTAATAGTTATACCAGAATGCCTTGTTACTACCTATAAAAATCACCAACTAAGACATTATGATAAACTGGTAGGAAAAAAAAGATTGAATTGTACGTGTCCACACACCCTCCTCCCCAAATGTATCACCTTATAGGGCCAGTATCACAAACAAGCATAGGCTTTTCAGACTCTCCCCTCTTCCACAATTAGACTGCGATTAGCTAAGTGAACCCAGAACGGTGGCTTAAAAGAGCCCACCTTCCCACTAGTCATTACCCTTTTAACCACCCAGGTAAAGAAAATCACAAGAGCCACATGCAACGTGCAGGAATAAAATACTGAACTTACTTTAAAATGAAGGTAATGTATTCTTCCCAGAGAACACCAACGAACACAAGTCTATGTGCTAGGGTGATGCTCCTGGCCCTGCACACCATATGCCCTGGGTCAGCCAGCCCTGTAACCTGGGTCTTCCTTTCTTCTCTCCCTGGATTATTTGAGCTTGGCCCTGATTTCTCCACACTCTGCTGACTCTTCTTTCAACATTTGTCATCAGGCCATTCCTAACTTCAGCTGGCTTTGGTAGCTCACCACTGAATCAAGTGAAAGTATGGAAGCTTGCTTTAGAGCTTCTCCTTAAACTGTCCCCACATGATCTAACAATACCATTTTCCACTGTGTTCCAGTATGGCCCTGCCACTCTTTGCTGCCTTCCTCCTAGTCCTGTGAATACTTATCTGTTCTTCAGGCTGATGCTCTCATCAAGCCACCCAGCTTGGCTCTCTGCCTCAGCAACTCTTTCTTCTCTTTAAAGTGTACCACCATCTTTCATGAAGACCTGCCTAACCATGACAACCTGTGCATTCAAACATCCCCTGGAAAATGTATGATTAAAATCAGAACCAGACAAATCAGCTTGCCTATGGCTATTGCTCCATGCACAGAAAGCAAGATCGTTAAGTGACTATAAAATCTGCTATGTCAAATAATAGGTTAATTGTATCAATATAATATTTTGAAGGAACAAGTTTATGTCATCTAATAATTTTAAATGAAAGGATAATGTTCCTTTTTAAAGTTTATGTGCTAGCCACTTTCAATCGCTAATTTAAAAAATCATAAATAATTTTTTTTTAATTTATTTATTTATTTATGATAGTCACAGAGAGAGAGAGAGAGAGAGGCAGAGACACAGGCAGAGGGAGAAGCAGGCTCCACGCACCGGGAGCCCGACGTGGGATTCGATCCCGGGTCTCCAGGATCGCGCCCTGGGCCAAAGGCAGGCGCTAAACCGCTGCGCCACCCAGGGATCCCAAAAAATCATAAATAATTTTAAACAGAGATACAAATATATGAGTATATATACATGTGTATATACATACAAGAGGTCTCAAAGTATAAACATCACATATCAGTTACCAAATTATCAATGTTCTGCAAAAGAAGCAATTGATTCTCATTTATTTTAAAATGAGAATTAGTGATATATAAATGGCTTCATAGTTTCAATCATAGCACAATTTTTAATAACTTCATTCTAAAAAATAAATTTGAATTAAACTTATTTATAAAAAAAAACAGCCACATAATGATCATGGAAAAGCCCACCAGTGCTTTTGCTTAGTAGAAATTTTAAAATATTTTTTAATGAAATAATTTTATTAGTGGCAAATGCAGAAATTTGCAAGTTTCAATGGACAAGTATAATTCTATAGGATGTGTTAAAAAGGAATAAAATTAAAATTGTCATTCATTAAGTGTAGCATATCCAAATTCAACAGTCTCTAGGCACTGATGTTTTTTCTAAAAAGAAAAATCCAAAGGGCAGCCCTGAACAACTCACTAATTACTTTGAAACTATGCAGTTTGCAGATTCCTCACTCTTAATTCAGCATAGTTTTACATAATGAGATGAGGTTTTTCTGAAACTAATACTACTATAACTCTCAGTGGAAATGCTGGTATCCTTTCAATGGTGTGAGTTTTAATAAGATGGAAGCTAGCCAACTACTCTATACTCAGGCTAGGAAACAGAAGGAACTGCCAGAAAATATTATTCAAAACATCAAGAAACTGATGTCTAAACAATGTGTTTAGCCCTTATTCTGGTGATCAACAGTGGGAATGAATAAATTTCTAAGAGAAATTTTTTAAATTGCAATTTACTCACATTATGAATATTTAATGTTGAAAAAATTACTTTATGAAATAAATCTTTGATTTCATTGAACAATAGAAGAAAATTTTCTAAAAAATAGAAAGAAAGAAAGAAAGAAAGAAAGAAAGAAAGAAAAGAAAGAAAGAAAGAAAGAAAGAAAGAAAGAAAGAAAATTTTCTGGCATCCAAATAGCAGATGACATTATTTAAGGCAAAAAAATTTTTTTAAAAAAAGAGGCTCTGATTTTTCCTTTTAAAAGTAAAACTAGCTCCCTTGACTCTTTTTTAATTCCCAAAATCACTTGGGAAATGTTAAGTGTATTAGGAAGGAACTAATATATAGCTTGATAGTCTTCTCAACATTGTAAAGTTATGCTACTTATTAATTAAGAATGTATTCAATGCAGGTTATACAACAATACTGTAGTTGTTAAGGTAACTATGCCTTATCTGTTTTATTGACTATTAAGTAACAATAAATACTATGTTATGTGGTGATAAGACATGAAGATAAAGATGACTATAATTCAGATGATTTTATTTAATTGAAAAAAGGATACAAAATTATAAATATCAGTGCTTAAGCATTTTTAAAACTCTATGCATAAGAAAAAATTGGAGGAAATATTTTTAAATTCCCATTTATTTCTCTTTAGATGGTGAAATTATCCAATATTTTCAACTTATTTCTCTGTTATTTCCAAATTTTCTTGAGAAAGCAAAATTTAATTTTAAAAAACCAATGTGCTCAGTATCTTTAAATGGTTTCAAATATTTATATTGAAAATGACAACTGAAATCTTTCTTCAAAAATATCTATTCATTTTAAAGAACACCTAAAAGAATGAAAATTTTCCATCTTACTCAATTCAAATTTGATCACTGTATTGCAATCTGCGGTTTGCCCAACATTGAACTACAGATCACATTTCTGAAAGGTCACCATTTTGTTCTCTGTCCAACTACACAAATAAACTAGTTCTTAAGAGAGAATACAAATGATCTGTTGCTACTTTTTGAATGAATTTCCAAGCATATACTATGAAAATTACCAAGAAAATGAACCGCAGAAAGTTCAACAGCTTTCCTACTTAGGTCTTAAGCTGGATACTTTTTAATGAATCATGTTCCAACTAATATCTCAGAAAGAATCTTCAAAGAAAAATTAAATTAGAATTCACTAAAAAGACAGTTGGATCTAGAAAATGATGGAATGGAAATTTGGCCATAAACTCAATGGTAACCATCTCCTTGCACATAAGAAGTAATAGACAACATGGGTATATTAAAATAAAGACAAATTTTTACACTTCTGTATGTCATATCATTGCATTATTTTTTTGTATTCTGAGATATAACTGATGTAATCCAAATCACTAAACATTTTAAGTAAAAGTATAATAAGGTTTATTTTTCAAAAGATTTAGATGGTAAAAAAAATGATTTAGATGATTACACATTGACTAAAAGCTCAGTCTCATTCCAAATGAGACTAATATATTTCTTCTGCAAGTCTTGAGCTAAACCAATGTGATCAGTTGTCTGATGGAGTCTCATACTTAGAAAAGCATTTTACTTATACCTAGAGCATACAAAAATACCTAGCATTTCTATAACATATTCAAATAGCTGGGGGAACTCTTAATTTTTTCATCAAAAGTTCTAAGTATGCTTAAAATATATATCTTGGTTAATTAATTTGTATTATTTATACCAGAATATGGCATAGTTGTTGTTTGTTTTTGATTTTGGCAATGAGCAGATTAGCCTGACAGCATTTGCCATCCCTCAAGTGACTCATCCAGGGTCCAAGTGTGGGAAAGATTTTGTCTATGGGCATCGATCAGCTCTACTGAGACCTATCAGCATCAGAACACCTATTCCGGGGGATCCCTGGGTGGTTCACTGGTTTAGCACCTGCCTTCAGGCCAGGGCGTGATCCTGGAGTCCTAGGATCGAGTCCCACATCGAGCTCCCTGCATGGAGCCTGCTTCTCCCTCTGCCTGTGTCTCTGCCTCTCTCTCTCTCCCTCCCTCTCTCTCTCTCTCTCTCATGAATAAATAAATAAAATATTAAAAAAAAGAACACCTATTCATAGAGTATAAAGTAAGAACATTTAAAACCTGAGCTCATCAAAAAAGAAATGGAGATTTTGTGATGGAAATAATGAAGAGGGACACATGGGTGGCTCAGCAGTTAAGCATCTGCCTTCAGCTCAGGGCATGATCCTGGAGACCCAGGATTGAGTCTCACATCAGGCTCCCTGCATGGAGCCTGCATGTACCTCTGCCTATGCCTCTGCCTCTCTCTCTGTGTCTTTCATGAATAAATAAATAAAATCTTTTTTAAAAAAAAAAGTAAATAACCAAGAAAACAAAAAAGGAGAAGGTTGGCATAGCACCCAGATCCTTTCTTAGAAGAAACAAACAACCAAAGTCAATCTCTATATTCTGATGCATCATCTCTCCACTGTTCTCTAGATGGTCCTTTTGACTTAAAACCCATCTGGAGCCTCTGCTTCATATTTCTCAAGTCATGGCCAGGGGCACCAAGGAAACCTCACTCCAACCCCAGCTTCGTATGAAACAGCTGGACAAGTTAGTTCTTCAATGTGGCCTCATTTCCATCAGTGGAAATGTTGATCTTCAAGATCCTATTCATCTTCAGAAATTCTAATTTTGAATTTCCAAGTCCTGGCTGAGGATATACACTTCTCCTAAAGACCTAGTAGACATGCTTATTAGAAAAGTAAATTTTCTTTGCAGGAAGTGAAAGGAAGGTATCCAGCTGCAGCCTAAAATTTCTTTAAGTGACCTTGTAGCAAGTATTTGCAGCCAAATTCCAGCAGTATGCTGCATGTGTATATTTAAGGAAGAAATAAGGCCTTCACCGAATACTACAAAGTGTAATTAAATTCATCATATTTCGACGAATCCCGAGCCTTGGAAGTTTGTGCCAACAGGTGCCATCAGATAACTTATAACTAAATATTCTGCAATGTCCTGCCTTCCACACTAATTCATATCTACCAGGGTCTGAGGCCTTGTTTCTATAACACCCCTATCTCCCAGGTACTGAGGTTCTGAAGGCTACAATCACTAAAGCACTAAAAGAACATTTTCATGGGATTGAATCCAAAGTCCATTTGCATGAAAGCTCCATCACTCCACACAGGCTCTCACTCTCCTACATCTGACACAGATATGCTGAAGATAGTATCCTACACCCATGTCTCCAAAGGCCCTGGGCTCTTAGATTTCTTTATCCAGTGTCCCAGTTTCCCACAGCATAGGAAGCATGATGAAATTCATCAAAATTTACCAAAATTCACTTAGATTACCAGTGCAGATGGTACAAATGGGGACAACCACACCATCTGGGGCAGGGGGAAGGAAGTGAGACACAGGAGCTGTGTGTCCATGAAAAGGCATAAAAAGGGAAAAGAAAAAAAAAAGAGAGACTAAAGCAATAGGGGACAGGTGGTTCCACCAGGGGGAGATAGGGCCAAGAAGAAACAGAGGGGAGGTTTGAGTATGCCTTCATCTGCCTCACTTCCACCCACCTCAAGTATAAACATGGGCTTTGGATATTCTCTTGAGCAATCAGGTTACTGAAGCAAGACAGCTGTTCACATTTAGACAGACAACATTCCTAAATGTCACTAGTCTCCTCTCAAAGCATTAAGATGAATTAATGCTACATTATAAAAAATATTGTGCACATCTTGCCATGTAAAGATAGCCTACTAGGTCTCACATGATAGGATGTGAGTACATGCATCTGTATTATAGCCTGCAGCACAGAAAGGGATTTTCAGCTGTGCCAGCTGTCAGACAGCTCCACGCCTCCATCCCCCGTCAGCCTGTGAGGAACCTCACCACAAGAAAACTTCGCTCCCAAGAGAGTACACCCGAATTTTGCTCATTGCACATCTTTTCTCCTTACCTGCAGCACTCATGCTTCACTATTTTTTAGGATGCTAACAATGGGTCAGAGAAATGGCACACAGTTGAGCATCGGAAAATTCGTATTCCTGCAGATGATAACCATTCTTCTCCTCTCTGGAGTAAGAGATGGCAACAAAGGTATGTGGTAGGGGGGAGCTGATCTGTGCCCCAACCCAGATTTAAATTCTCTATACATTTCTCTCTAGACATTTCTCTATATGGGAATTAAAGTCATTTACCAATAATTAATATATTTTATTTCATCTTGTCTTTTCTCCTAGAAGCATATCTTTGAAATTTTAATTAGTCATTGGGGAAAAATGTGATCCAATTTACTAGCCATTCATATTATAGATTAGTTTATCATCATATTATGTAATCTGATCTATGTATTTTTCGAATAGAAAATAACTTATTTAACCTCATTGTATTTAATGTTTGCGACTAATTGTGATTTGATAAATTTACTTGTCAAAGTCTGTATTGTATCTTCAAATCTACATAGCAAAAATGCATATATAAAATATGTAAAGTACTTAAAGTACTTTAAGCAAACACTTAAAATACAGAAACCACCCTTCCTCTAAGCAAATCGATACTACCTTTATATGCATACTGGCTGTATAGTCAAAACAAATCTAGTTGTCTATATTCTACAGTTAATATATTCTATGAAAAAAAATCACATATATACATATAAAACATAGTATTGAAGAAAATAAGTTCATTCCCTATTTTCTGCAGTCATGCTGGTGATACCAGGAACTGGGATTGTGTACGTCACTCCTATTCAGCTATTTCTTTGTTATCTCTGCGTTGAATACTAGTGTGTTTCAATCAAATGCAATTTTCTACTTTGCCCATAGTTCCCCTCTCCCTTGTCTCACCTTTCTCCTCCAACTGCTCTAACAAAGTATTTCTAAGCTCTAATTCACTGCAAATGATTATCAGGTGAGAAGTCTGCCTTAGGAGGGAATTTACTAATGGTGTTTCATTTTTAAAGTACTAATTACCTACCTGTGCCATCATCCACATTCTCCACTTCCATCACCTCTGTATTGATCCGGCCACGAAAAAGGTACCGATGTCCATCTGTGGATGCCTTGCTATTCTTCAACCGTCTTGTAATGGAATGAAAGCACAAAAACTTTGTTACTAAACTTAATAAAAATGCATTGAAGCAATATGATTTAAGCTATTCTTTGGAAAAATAAAACACACCAATGCAATCAATGATATCAAATATGAGGCTCCTGGTGTTTACTTGTGTCCTCCCATTCAAAACAGCACTGGTTGCTTTAGAAATTGAGACTTATGTACCAGCTTTTTAAAATTAATGTAAGCGGGTACCTGAGTCGCTCACTTAAGCATCTGCCTTCAGCTCAGGTCATGATCCCAGGGTCCTGGGATCGAGCCCTGCATCAGGTTCCTTCCTCAGTGGGGAGTCAGCTTCTCCCTTTGCCTCTCCACCCTGCTCGTATTTTTCTCTCTCAAATAAATAAAATATTTTAAAAATAATAAAACAAATGGAAGCTTTGGACTAAGAACAATATACAGTTGTTCTTACTGTGGATAAATATGTGCTTTTGCTCAGTTTAGAACATCAAAGGTACCAAATCAAAGTCTGACACAAGCTAAAAGTTATTTTAAAATTTCATTTGATTTCTTTCACTTTCATTTCTCATTTTTCAGTAACGAGCTGGTAATATCCATTTTTTCAAGCTCCCATAAAATTCAGTTAGTACTTATGACTCCTCTGCAAAGAAACTGTGCTAGAAATTCTTAAGTTGCGTGTTATCTAGCTGAAAATACTTTTCCTATATCGTTTCTATGATTTGAGAACTATATATTTCTTGAATAAGTCTCTTAATACACGGGACACCTTGGTGGCTCAGTGGTTGAGAGTCTGCCTTCGGCTCAGGGCATGATCCTGGGATCCAGGGACAAGTCCCACATCGGGCTCCTTGCGGAAAGCCTGTTTCTCCCTCTGCCTGCCCCCACCTCTGTCTCTCAAGAATAAATAAAAATTTTTTAAGTCTCTTAAAACACTTATAATCCTTCATCAGGGTCTTATTTATTTTTTAAATTGTTAAAAATAATCCAAAACTTTGGTGTTTCACACACAAAAATCAGTGTGGGGGAGGAGAAAGTGATACAAGAATCACTGAATCCATGTATGGCAGGGAGATAGTAAGTGCTGTAAATGAGAATAAAGAGGGAAAGCTAATAAGTTGAAAAGAGTCATGGCATGAATTTCAGATGCACTAGGATTCCTGAAGGAAGAGGAGGAAATGGCTGGGAAGCAGCAATGGGAAACACGGAAGACACACTACCTCTCCTACAGAGCCGGAGGCATGTGGCTTAGCAACAACAAAAAAAATTCTTTCCTCCAGAAGGTTCCTGGGGAGGTAGTGTTAATGAATGACAGGCACATTTCAGTCATGTTTGACAAGAAGATAAAGAGAACAATCAGAGAATAGGCTAAAGAGCATGTGAAATTGAGGAGATCCTGAGTTCCCAGGAGCACAGAGGAAAACTCTATGAGACCGATAAATAATCTTTTTTTTAATTTTGGGGGGATTAATAAGTAATTTCTGAAGTATTGCTTGTTTATCACCTTACCTGTGTTTCCTTTTGCAGTACACCAGAAGATTATCAAAAAGGAAAAACACCCGTTCTTGAATATTTCCAGAAGAAATTTTCAATAAGACGCCACACATGAGCATTTCAGTGCAAGTGTCGGTAATGTTGGATCCCTAGGTCAGAAAAAATGGAGATAATCTCTGATTACTTAACAGAAACATTTGTGCGTAATTCTTGTTCTCCTTAAAGTCTGTTTGTTTTTATTTTAAGATACAATATATGGACAGGATGCAAGTTCAGACACCATAAATATTTAGGCACTGGATGGAGGTCTCCTTCCCTTCTAGACTCCTCCTGGTCAGTCTCAGCTGATACAACTGCGGTTAAGAGATTCTGGGTCTCCTTTTAGCTCTCTTACACATGTATGGATATATACATATATCAAGATGGTGATACATGTTACCTGTGTTCTTTTAAAAAGTGATGATTTCAAACTGTTGTATAACATCCATGTCCCTAATACACCTCTCCTCCTCCTCTCTTTCCCTGGAATGGGAAAAGAACTCCATGGACACGTCACAAAGTACATGAAATTCTCTAAATTTTTGGCAGGCCTCAATTTATATATCCACTCCTAGGAGGGATAAAAGAAGAAGAAGAAGAAGAAGAAGAAGAAGAAGAAGAAGAAGAAGAAGAAGAAGAAGAAGAAGAAGAAGAAGAAGAAATTAATGGGGGAAAAAAATAAAGAGAGCAACCTTCCCTGGAGCCTTTGGAGTAGTTAAAAGTTAGCATAGGCACACTCATTCATTAAATAAGCTTTCAACGAGTGCTCACTACGGTCATAGGATTAGGGGCAAAACTACGTCTTTACACAAGCACCACCCACTGAGAGGAGCCACAAGATGGAAGGAGCCTGGTGCGCTAAAGATGGAGGAAAGCTGTGCATTAAAGCAGAGTACAAGCATCTAATCGTTGTGTGAGCTGATCAAAAACATCTATTTTGAGCTCTTAAAATGTGGTAGTCTATTTGTTTCTACAACCTAAACTATCATAACTAATGCATTAAGTTGGACAAAAAAAAAAGTTTTCAGTAGATAGCCATTAAGCATGCTCTGCAAGAATATTTCTATTTTCAATATGTCTGGTTTCTTTAAGTCCAGGAATAAATTTCTGATTTTTTAAAAACTTTTTATTTTTATTTTTGATATTTAAAACTCAGAACATTAATTTTAAATTGTGTATTTCCACAGTAATCATTGACATAGTTTTTCTGATTGCTTATGAAATTTTATTTATTATTTTTTTAAGATTTTATTTATTCATTCATGAGAGACACAGAGAGAGATAGAGGCAGAGACACAGGCAGAGGGAGAGGCAGGCTCCAGGCAGGGAGCCCGATGTGGGACTCAATCCCAGGACTCCAGGATCACACCCTGGGCAGAAGGCAGGTGCTAAACTGCTGAGCCACCTAGGGATCCCTGCTTATGAAAAAAATTTTTTTTAAGATTGTATTTATTTATTCATGAGAGACACAGAGAGAGGCAGAGGGAGAAGCGGGCTCCTCACAGGGAGCCTAATGTGGGACTCGATCCCCAAACCGGGGATCACGCCATGAGCCAAAGGCAGACGCTCAACTGCTGAGCCACCCAGGCGTCCCCCGCTTATGAAAATTTAAATCACAGTGACAAGTCATATATATCAACATGAAACTTCCCAAGTGGGAAGTTGAGAGAATGTGATCCTGTTAAGTATCTATATTACAAACACATTTTATTTTATTTTTTGTTTTTATGTTTCACTTAAGTATTTTGTTTTATTAAGTTTTTTATTTTAATTCCAGGATAGTTAACATACAGTGTTATACTAGTTGGAGGTGTACAATATAGTGATTCAGCAATTCCAGGCATATCTCAGTGCTCATCATGATAAGAGTACTCTTAATCCCCTTCACCTCTTTCACCCAACCCCTAACCAATCTCCCCTCTGGTGACCATCTGTTACAAACATTGTAGATTTAAGATATTTCCCTTCCTTTTTTCCTTTTATCATAAAAGTGGACATATAACTGGAGATCTATCAAAAATATACACAATTTCATATCCCTCAACATGTGATAATTAAGTAAAAACTGTCATCAAATATGAATATAAATTCCAATTTCAGTGGCAATGATTTTTTTATTTAAATACTATCCCTGCCCAAGAAAAACAAATTAACACAGAATACTTTTAAAAATGTAAACAAGGAGGGATGCCTGGGTGGCTCAGCAGTTGACCATCTACCTTTGGATCGGGGCGTGATCCTGGAGTCCAGGGATCGAGTCCCACATCGGGCTTCCTGCATGGAGCCTGCTTTTCCCTCTGCCTATGTCTACCTCTCTTTCTCTGTGTCTCTCATAAATAAATAAATAAATAAATAAATAAATAAATAAATAAATAAATAAATAAAATCTTTAAAAAATGTAAACAAGGAAACATCACATTGATTCTTGCACAGGGACCTATACAATGTTATAGAAGTGGCTTTATTGATAACAATTTTATGAAAGGTATAAAATACTTCATATTAGACTATTTCTTTTTTTTTTATTTTTTATTTATTTATGATAGTCACAGAGAGAGAGAGAGAGGCAGAGACACAGGCAGAGGGAGAAGCAGGCTCCATGCACCGGGAACCCAACGTGGGATTCGATCCCGGGTCTCCAGGATCGCGCCCTGGGCCAAAGGCAGGCACTAAACCGCTGCGCCACCCAGGGATCCCATATTAGACTATTTCTTACAGTAGCCCCAAAAAGCCAAGCAAGGAGGCTAACTTGTTATTTTATTAAAGGGTAACTGCAGATGTTATATTAATTTGCATATTAACCAGTCTTCCAATAAAGTTTCCAATATTAATATAGGTAGGTATTAGTAGATGCATTCCTACTTTACAAAAATATTTTTTTAAAGATTTTATTTATTTGAGAGAGAGAAGGAGAGAGCATGAGTTGGGGGGAGCAGCAGAGGGAGAGGTAGAAATAGACTCCCCACTGAGCAGGGAGGCAGACTCGGGGCTCGATCCCAGGACTCTGAGATCATGACCTGAGCCGAAGGCAGAAGCTTAACCAACCTAGTCACCCAGGTGCCCCCTGATTTGACAGAAATCTTAACCATATTTTCTGACCTGGTCGTGATTATAATCTTTATTAGTAAATATAAGAAGAACTTAAGGTAAATTTGAGCTAAGCATGGAGGCCATTTATTCCATCCTCTTACACAGTCTCACAGGAAATACCGTCCAAGCTCTGAAGAACTCACGGGAACTACTGTGTAAACTAAAAAGTGGATATATTATTCCTGATGATAAAAATAACTGACAACCACACCAAACGTTGCCATAAGTAAGGCCAACACAATCTCCCTTTGTAAACTTAACCTGTTTGGAAAGCTGTACCATAATCAGAAAGAATCCTGACAGAAGTAAAAACAAAACAACAACAAAAACCACAACAAAAAACACTCAACCAGACAGAGGAAGAGGACATGATTTCTGACCCTCACTGCTAGTTTCACCACTGCCGCTACCCCTGCCCCCTTGCCTCACTCTCGTCTTCCCGTGATCTGCCTGCGGGTTATTGGGACTGCTCTTCCCCATCAAGTTCTTGTTTGTTCACATCTTTTGTCTTGTCAGTGCCACAAAGACTTTCTGCTGAGGACAAGCTCCCCAGCTGAGAAAAACCATCTTCCATCCTGTGAATGGAGTGAACTGACTAGCCAGGCCATGCTAGCTAATGCACCAAATATTCTCATAGGTTTGGTGTTTGAGAGATTGAGCACTGCCCGTCAACAGCTGAACCTTTGATTTATAATAAAAAGACAAATTTTCTAGAAGGACACTCGTTTAGACCGTAGCATTAGACAAGTCAGAGGCATACCCGGGGTGCTAGAGGAGGGTCTTTGACAGAACATATAGACAGGGCTAGAGTTGCTTGTTTATGTACCAAGAAGGGAGAGACAGAGAGAGAAAGAGAGAGAGAGGATGGGTGGGAGGGCGGGAAAGAGGACCAGAGGGCAGAAATGATGCTCTTGGTGAATTAGAATTAGAGTAGTTTGTAAGCAATGAGCTAACACAATCTGCCACTTGGACAGGATCATCCATAGTCTGTCTCTCAGTGTGTCTCTGTCTCCTTGCTCTCTCTTTTCTCTGCTTCCAGTACTAACTACACTTCCAAATGACTCCTCAGATCTGTGGCTATGTTCGTGCCTTCTAACCAATGTAGAAAAGGATATTAGTATTTAATTTATACAAAGAATTAATAGACAACATATGTAAAACTCCCAGCACAATGCCCAGTACAGAAAAGCACTCTATAAAGGCTACTACAATTATCATCGCTAGCTCTTTTAAAGGTGATGACATCAAGCCCAACTATTTTGCTATGCTTCAAAGTGTATCTTCCAATACAATCATAATGGCATTCATATTATATTTTACTAAATCCTACTGAGATATGTCTATCATTGAGGTGAGTTGTCTTTAATATTTAACGGCAAGATTTAAGAATTAGTACAGTATCTACCTTTACCATCTTTTACCATAGCAATCTACTATCATCACATGAAATCTCTTCCCAGTAATAATTAAAGAATTCCCAGAGAATTGCTTATGTACTTAAAGGAATCTCTGTCAAACATATACATTTGTCTAAAAAACCTCATTCTAAAAGAATGCCTTGTAGCATTTCTCTTTATATCACGTGTATCTCGTAGATGATAAAGTATGACCATTCTGCTCTTGACTTACCATGATTGAATCTGTACATTATTTCTATGACAACAGAAATCTGTCGGGGCACCTGGGTGACTCAGTCAGTTAAACATCAGCCTTCCACTTGGGTCATGATCACAAAGTACTGGGATCAAGCCCCACGTTGGACTCCCTGCTCAGTGTAGAGCCTGCTTCTTCCTCTCCCTCTGCTACTCCCCCCAGTTCATGCTCTCTCTCTCACTCTTGTCTCTGTCTCTCTCAAATAAATAAATAAAATCTATTAAAAACATCTATCATTATTTCTATGACAATCATTAAGAATTTTTTAACCACAGATATGTACAATATTATAAATATTGAAGAAAATTTGATCAAGTGTATATACAGTCTTATGTATAGTATGATGTGCCTCTCACTTCAAATCCAT